TGTATGCTTAGATCTTTAAAACTACGCAACGGATTTTGATGCGGTTTCTTTTAATAGATAGAGTGATTCTTAAGGAAGGTTTGTATGTATAATACCTACATGCATATTGCACCCGTGCGAAGCCGGGGCGGGTCACTAGTATATTATATAACGTTGACTTGAATAAAAAGCACATTATTTTTTGTTATCTTCTGAGAATCATGAGTCGTGAGCAGCATGTAAAAATAAGTACCTACTCTGATAGTTTGGTTTCTTTAAACACTAACAAATCAACATTGAGACTAACCAGTTACATAATCGAAGCAAATGTTAGTAAGTATGCTACATTGTTATGTGAGTCGCAAACTAGTGTTAGTGCATTGCATACTTACAGATTTCGGTTACTAAGTTCATAGGTAGCTGAAAGACGTTGCATGAATTCGAATTAAACAAAAATCACTTTAGTGGGTACTATGTATTATGTAAAATAGGATTACCTATGCACCTTTGAGAGAATAAGAAACTTTAGCTTATAAGAAGCTAGTTGAAATTAAATAAGTAGCTTTAATACCATAAGACAACATGTGTGGAGTACGATTTAAAATTAATGATAGTACATAGGTACCTACTAATTAATTATTATAATTCTATAGTTAAGATTTAGATCAAGGGATTAGTCTCAGTCATTTGAAGTATAAGATGTAGATGATATCGATTGCACCCATCACAACAACGTTTTGTAATGTATTGTTATTTATTTATTGATCGCACACAATGTCCTAAGAACAATTGTAAATTTAAATACGAAAAGTCGTCAAATATTAAAGCAGCCGTGATGAGCCAGTTCGTGTCAGGTAAATAAAACTATTAAGCATAGGTATAGGTAGGTACCCACCATAGTATTGCACGGGACTTACAATAATATGATAAATTAGTACTTAACTAATAAATACAGGCGCAAACACACAACACCTATGGCTTTGAGGATAACCAATGTAACTACCTATGTACTTTAAGGTAAGTAGGCAGCTGTGATGATAACAATGTAACATCATTCTGTGAGAAGGTTGGTAGGTAAATTAGCATTTATCCTCTAATTAATAGGTATGCAATTAAATAAACGAAAATATTCAGTAAATATTCATATCTTTTAAACAGGGGATTTCAGTGCTTAAAATTAAAAACACATATTAATAAAAGTAACAATGTAATTAATTATATTTATTTCTCAATCAGAGTCATCTAAATACATTAGGACCCAATATTCGTTGAATATATCTTTGACCAGGTCATAAACTAATTAAACAATTACAAATCTTAAAAAAATATTTTAAATGTATCTGACTATTTATTAGCTTGAGATTTTATTGCAGTACATTTATACCTAGTTGGTTGTTTCGATTATTCTATTTGCTATTTAGAATTGTATATGAGGCACAGGTTTCCTCTCGTCTATTTATTTCATCGCACACCTATAAAGCTTGTGTCAACTACACAGTATTTATTCAAGTGATCCGTAACAATATTTTCATCAACTTCGAAATTTTAATCTAGAAATTATGCTTCATGACATTCCCAACTCTAATCAAGTGTTAATTTCGGGAAAGTGAACAATGGTAAAGTGAATTAACGAACAATGAATTATGCACACAACAGGGTTAATAACATATTAATTGACAACATACATAATGGCAGTATCTATTGTATTGGAACAGTGCATTTATGTGGCAGTCTCTTTGGGTGATATCATTTTCTCCAAAACTAAACACTTGATTTTGTCAAAACATACCAATCTTATGTTTAACTTCGACACCAATTACGAGATTTTATAAAATGTAAAGTCGTCTAAAAATCAACTAACAATATTTCTAGCTTAGACCTAGCATCATGTTTAGGTACGGCAGGACTCGAGTATAAAAATGGAAGCGATGGATTTCTCGAAACGTCAAACTATCATGCTGTCATGTACCTGCAAACAAATAAAAAGTTATCTGTAGTGAATGTCTTCGCACACAATACGGATTTGGGAAATAAAGAGACCGCAGTCCGCTAGTAAGAGTGGAGAACAAATTAGACATAGGTATACAAAAAAACTACAACAGCTCATGATACCCCAATTATTAAAAAGCATGTTACAGGCATACACTTGATTTCTGCACTAAAAATATAAGCACGACGAGGATTTTTACCAGTATTTTTGAAGCGTCGTACTGGACGGTGCATTTATTTTTATGGGTATATCACGAAATGAGTATTCATCTAAATAATGACCAATAAAATATAATTTTTTGACTAGTGATTACTTAACTAACTACATATCCGCAAACCACAAGTGTGAGTAAGATAAAAATCCCTACATTTCGCTAATTATAGTAGGTACGTTTATGTACTTACGTGCAATATACCCTCAATTCTATATTTATATTAAATGTGTAATCAATAATTATGTACCGAAGAAAGCGTGAAGCGTGCTTAGTAACTACATATTAACAATGCGTATTAGTTTTTCATATGATTAAATTCAGTAAAAAGTGCTTCAAATAAGTGCGACACAATTTTAGAAAGGAAGTACTCTGATTCTGAAGTCTTAGTTATTGTAGCGAAACCATTTTATGTGACATAATTTTAACTAAATAATACCTAGTATAAAACACAAAAAATGTCAGTCTACTATTCCAAATATGAGAAGAGAACTAACAATACCTAGCCCAATGAATTCAAAAGGAAAAAAATACATGCGGTTAAAGCAACTGTACCAAAGTAAGAATAAGTACAAAAAACACTGAGAATCTGAGATATTTTAAAGATATTTAAGTATCCACTAACATTACTGCAAATAATAGTTTCAAGTGCCTTCTAAGAATCTAGAATAGAAATTATACAACAGCATAAAAGACAACCATATTACAAATCGTTACAGACACAAATAAATACCGACAATAGCAGAACGGGTGCGCTATCGCTCAGCTTATCCTCCTAAACGTTTCCTGTCTCGGCACAAACTGACTACTTCCTAATTGACTCAACAATACTTTGCAATAGATTGGTACCTACCTACTTATACTTTGAAGTCAACGAGCATATAAAATTCACGAGACAAGCGGTAAATCTTGCATTATGCAACATGATTTTCGCAAACTACCAGTTCCTACAAAAATATTTCTCCTGTTACCTATATAACTGGATGACGTCAATGATATTTTTTGTCAACATGATTATATTCCCCCGTCTTTCGTCATAATTACAACGCTGATAAACATAATCTACTACGTAATTGCGAATTAGGTGAATCTATCCATTCATGTCTACTGTTTAGGGACTGATAAAGAAAACTAGTTTGGAAGCAATAGTTTACAGATTTGTTCGTTTGATTATGTTATTGTGACTATTCTCTTTTTATAGGTTTCTGGGAAAAACGCTGACCAATAATCGCGTTCGCCTATATATAAAACATAAAAGTTACTGTAGTCATTTCACATTACAAAGCCAGCATAAATATTGCGTTTCTATTTTTCAATGTTTTAAAACGGTTTAATCGGGTCGACATTTAACGAATTATGGAATAAAATCTAGGGATCCTAATTATTCGCATTTCTAATTGTTTTATCATCATGAAGTATGTAACTTGGCAGTTACATAAAGATGAGATGATCATACAATATTATAGTACCATTGAGTTGGTTTGATGATGGAATTGGAAGGTGGCTGATGGAGCCTTGAGTAACCTATTGGTGAAAACACCGAGTTTGGTTTCCCGATGACTTGGGCAAAACTATAATTTATATACACAAGCACGTATATAACTCATCGTCTTAAAAACATTTGAAAAAATGCGTTTCACATTGAAAAAGAACCCTGTTCCGCGTTTTATTTTGATAATAAACTTATTATGATTTGATGATACTCCGTAAGAATGACGCCCATAAAACATTTATAACCGCTATTGTAACTCACAAAGTTCATAGCTATTTAAAGCAAGGCATTTAAGTTTCTAAATGAAATTATCTATTGTACTCTACCCATAAAACATAGTGTATTGGACGTATTAAACTATGTTTTCTAAACAAATTACGATGGCTTATCGCATTGCAGCTGTTCATAACTATGATACACCATTGATATACTTATTGATATTTTGTAAATCTCTGATGAAATCGCATAAAGCACTAACACGACAGACATTACACGTAGTACATTAACACATTTGCCTTAATAAATGATTAGGTACAGTTTAACTACTAAGTATATAGGTATGTACACAAACACTAAAACTTTCATCATTAGTAATGACTTAGTAAGACGTTTAGGTAACTTGCAATAAAATTGTTTGACATTATTCGCTACTGTTACACGCCTACGAAGCCAAATAAATGAAACATTCACCATCTTAATACATTAAGACCACCCATCCACCACCACAAAAATAACTAAGTACAGATAACCTACTGACCTTAACCCAGAGTCCATTTTCCACCCAGTTGCGATGAAACGTACTGTATGGATGTAAAAATATTATTCATCAATACATTTTCAAACAATTGGTAAGTAATCAAAACAACTCAGGCATCCATACTTCTACTTTTCCGTGTATTTGGCTAAGTTTATAACTTCGCTGTAAATGAAAACTGATACAGTTATGTTTTCAAACAATATTATTGGCGTTAAGTATTGATATGGAAACTAATTTTATGGATTATTTCGCGATTTTATTGGGTAACTGATTTGAACCGTAAATTAAGATTTAATTTGAAATTAGGCAGTGCTCATGGGCTCAGACTTTTAAAACTATATAATAACATAGCGTCGTATTAGTACCGAGATCTTTGAGTTACCTAGGTCCAGGTATTAAATTGCGCTGTAAGATTTTATCTTATCTGTGTCGTAGCATACCTACATGAACGGTGGATCCACTACATACACAAGTACTAGCTTCTTAGTTTTCAACTTCAATATTGACATGAGATTAGCGACGTAGCGTACGTTCAAGACAAGATATTTTGATTTTAATAATATGAAAAGTGGAAACTCGGCAAGCAAAAACTTTGAATAACCTTCCAATGTATTCACAAAAAAATGCGGTCATCTCATTGTGTCTGTATCGTTTGTTTAAAAAGAATAGTATTATAATCATGATAAAGGCAAATAGTTTTACATTTTGAATAGCTATACTGTATTTATTAGGCATAAAGGCTACAAGAATGTATCTACATAAATATTAATACATGATTATATTTCTAAGATACACTTGTAACCGTATTAACCGTTATGATACTACGTACCTAATTGCACAAAGTAAATTAAATGCAGTATCGATTTTCTTAATATTAATCATCTACTTTTGTGTCTCTATTGCATACCCATGAAAACCGCCAATCACAAATAGATATAATATTAAAAAACGTACTCTACTTGACGCGAAATAATACACAAAATTGCTTAGCTTTGATCTCAGAAAATATTTAAATATAGGTATAAGCTAAGCATAGCTAAATATCATAAACAAAATAAGTATTAAATTATTCTTTACACATTAATTCAAAATGTATTTATAATAAATGGTTATTACATTATCCGGACTACCGGTATATTGGCAGATTATATAGCATTTGATATGTATAATTTTGTATCATACGATTTTATATTGACCGAAACTTTTGTATTAGATAATAATATTATGACAAATATTCTTACATAATCATAGGCACTTGTAACTAGGACTTAATTTGATTACTTATATTATATGAATTTATAGAATAAAGTTTTCTATAAATTTATATAATTTACGATCAACTTATCAATATTTTTATTTACATGCTCTATTGAATTCTATATATATTTCTCTTTAGTTGCATTGCACTTATTGTATCTTATATATTATTATATATATATATTTCTTATACTATAATATAAAGCTGAAGGATTAGTTTGTTTGTTTCAACGTGCTAATCTGTGGAAGTACTGGTCTGAATTAAATAATTCTTTCAGTTGGATAGACCATTTATCCACGAGGCTATAGGCTAGAAAACATTACGCTACGATCAATAGGAGCCAGTGAAACCACGCGGGAGTAGCTACTTATATATAAAGACTTTACTTAATAAATTGATTTCAAGGATAACAACTCAGCACCTCAGACATCTAGCTGTCGGATTACTAGCGATTCTATATTTTTAACAAAACGAATATGCTAACCTTTTAATGTATTGTATAATTAATTATATCACAAAGCAAATATTGGCATCTTATATGTATATTATATCCTTACTATAATTATGACATTTTGAGTGTAATTGTAAAAAAAATATCCAAAAATAAAACCGAATATACGGATTTATATGTCATGTCTTTCTGTACGGAACTTGTAATAAATATTTGTGACAAATAAAGTTGCTGACGACTTCGTATAATTTTGTGGTTTTACATGGTGGTGATAATTTCACAAATGTATGAAAGATTGATAAATGATTATAAGATTGCAAGGCACGGACTGTTATATCTGGACGAATGTTCTTTTTTCTCTGTCAATTTCATAATCAGCGGTTATTTTTTTATAATTTTAAACAATATAATTATATTATATAATTGTAAATCTAATATTACATATTGCTAAATACGTAGGTGTAAATCGTATTAGATTTAAGATTAAGTCTTCTATATTGATGACAGTGCCTGTACAAATGTTTTGAACATTACTGTACGACCAGTACGAATAGTTATGCAGAAAGTAAAACAATAGTCCGTTAATTTATTTGTTTCTTTATCATGCATACGTCTTGACGAACAATACCTACAATTATCATGAGCACTGCCGACTACTGATTCCGTTAAATATTATCTAAGTTTAGAATTTCACACTTGTCATGTTTCTTTTTACGCATTATTTTATCCGATTTACCCTAATAAATATTACACTCCATTTACATAGGAACCTACTTCCAAAATACTACATATTTATACTATGTCTAATTAACTGAAAAGTTAATAAGGCAGTTCTTACATAACTACGTATTTTTACAGGTAAATAATTTATTATTAATATCTTAGAAATATAATGGAATCATTTATTATTATATTATTACTATATTCATTTAACTACCTACAGGTACTTCGTATAATTTACCTTCGGTACTAACGGCCAAAATGACTAATAAATATAAACTAAGTATAAGAATTCTATTTAAAACAATATTATTACGTTTTAGCACCTTCTGGAACATTAATTTTAGTAAAATAATATTTTATTGGCAACATCTGTTTTACAAAAATCAAATTAAATATAAAATTTATGACTACCTACTATGAGATTGAAGTGACCAAAACGATGTTAAATAAGAATGATTAATTGTTCAAACATTTTTTTTATGTCTCCCTTTTATTACCAAAATCTTTACGAAAATTTTTTTGAAAATCTTGTCAAGTTTAATAAATTATCGACGCCTAAGAGTCCTATGGAAAAGGAAAACACGCTAGCCGTTATGCTACCCTTCGATTTTAGTTTTACGAGCATAGCAACATGGCAACACGTCATAGTTAAGTAGTTATAACTATTGTAACTAAATCAGTAATGGTAACTATAAAAGTTTATTAAAACGACATTTACTAGGCCTCAAAAAATAAACTAAAAGTAATTCTGTCGTGGAGAAGAGATATATTTTGTGCAAAATTGGAGGCTCCCATTTTTATTCACAATCAATACTAATATGGGTCTATTACCATATTACCCACATATGCTATCGGCCTTTGTTTTTAAGTTGACCATGATCTCTATGTCTTAAATTTTGTACTGAATATAATTATTCAAGCTATTTAATTAATTGTTTGATCCTTCCAAATAATGTGTATGTTCTAATTCTATCAGGATTTATATCAAACCAGAAATTATTTAAATGCTTCACCATTGGGAAGACATCATAGAAAAATATTGTGGTCTAATTAATTTAACTATTTAATATTAGCATTTGCAAAATTAATGCACATTATGCAAAATGAAAATAATGGAATGGTTAATAAATATAAATTATATATACTGTCATTCGCATTTTCAGCACTGCCTCATCAATTGAGGCATTGAAATATTCAGACAGCAGTAATTGTTTGCATAGAATTTTCATGTATTCTGTATCAAACGAGTTCAACATAGCAGTTTTTCCTTTAAAAAAATTGCTTTGTTTAACTACAGGTAAAATAACAGCAATTAATCTTATAGCAACTTTGTAAAACAGATATCTTGTGAAGAATAAAAAATGTAACATGCCAAGCGCTGGAATTAAAAGAAAAATGTGTATTACCAATGAAAACAATATTGAACTGTCTCAAAATTTCTACTTTTTTGGTTTATCTAGTCGCATATTTTTATTATTTCCAGCCCTCTATATAGCAGCGTAAAAAGTGAAAACTACCCATGAACTTAAAAAAAGCTTTGTAATGAGTATTATTACAAGGAACCCATTATGAAAATTGTGTAAAATGGAACCAATTACCTCCTTTATTCTAATAATAATTCGCAATTGCAATATTTTGATGTAATAATGAAGTATTATTGCATAACATTATACAACTAACTTAAAAAAAACAGAAATTTCCACATATTAAAATATAAGCAAACCTTCTGGCAAGCCTATGTTAATAAAGTATAATAATATGATATTTTGCAGAAATCAATGAAATGAAAAATATTATAATGTTATCATAATTTCACTACCAAAGACCAAAGTCTTTAGTGACACATTCCACATGCAATAATACAAATCAAATAAGTAAATGACTGAATAACCAATTAATAGCTTTTAATAAAGCTTTTTGTCAAGAAAGAGTAATAATTGGTTCCACAAAAAACTATTTATGATTTTAAAATGAACAAACTTATAAGGCAAACGAAAGAATAAATAACCAGCAAACAGACAATATGTGATTATTATAAAATTATTAAAAGTAGTGTTATACTTTACCCCTTCCATGTTTGTAAAACCTTTTTTTGTAACGTTTAGAGAGAAAATATTTAATAACTAAAATAAGAATAATGAAAGATAATATGTACAGGAGACTTAGCATTCCGATGTCCAAATTGGAGAATGGGACCGAAGGTGCTGCAGATGACCTTGCACGTCGCATGGATTGGATGCTTGCAGCACCGTAAACATTTTGGAGGTACTGGTATACAGCTGGTAGATTCCAAGCACCTCTGGCTAGTCTGCATTCAGCACACCTGGCGACACTTGGAAACTGGATCTTTGGATGCTCAGGATCTTCAGTGGTATCTCCTGCTAACCTAAGATTTACTTCATTATGTGCTATCCATAGCCAAAGTACCGCTTTGTCATTTTCCTTCACATCAAATATTCTATTTCTTGCTGCCATTGCTTGGAAATGTCCAGCACATTCTGTGCATCCGAAAAAGTTCTTCACATAACCATGCATAGCTTTTAAAACTTTTGGACTTTCTGTACCAGGTTTTTGAGCAGCATTTACAGTTAGAGTATGAAATAGTGTCCAGAGTCCACAAGTGTATCCACGGAATTTAGGCTGGCTACCTTTGCACCTTACATATTCCAAATTGGTTATGTATACAGGTGCATGTATTATTTCCAAATTTTTAACTACTTCATACACTTCGCCACCTTCCCAACTATTCTTTGATGCGAGAGTAGTACGCAATTCTGTGATATACTCTTTAAGATTCGCTCTAAAAGGAAATGAGACCATGATTACATCTAGATAGTCTAAGAGTGCTTGCAGAGCCTCGCCAGTCAAGGTCTTAAATCTTGTGATTTCAGTATGTAAACTTGTTTTAATAGTTTTCTCCAAGTCACTATAATATACAAGATCAGTATTAATAGTCACAGGTTTTTCATTGGAGTGGTCATTAGTGGGTATTTCTTGACTATCATGATCACGCACAGGGAAAGCATAGTTTTTAGATTTTAAGAAAGAATTAATTGCTTTCAGTAATCCCAACTTACTGTAGTCTTTGGGCACAAGAGTAGTAGACTCTAAAGTAGAGCTAATAGCTATAAGTCCAGGAAACTGTTTAATGTTTGCCAGCTCTGCAATTTCACTAGCTTCATTCACTCTTTTTACTTTAACATTAGGGTAATCATTTAGGTCTAAAGCTAGTTCAGACCCTAATGTAGAATTATCATTTTCCAATACAAGAAATGTATATTGAATATTGGCAGGCACATTCTTAACAGCAGATGCATAATCTTTGAAGGATTCAATAACAAAGGAAGGTGCAAATTTTAAGTTTCCAATGGTTTGATCATTTTGCATTTTTGTGATTATTTGAGCTTTGAGTTTTTCAAGTGTGTCAGTTAATTGTATCTTATCACCAACATTACCATTTCCTTTGACATAATTCTCATGCAAATAGCGTAATGATGGATAAGCCATTACTTCAAACTGTCTACAAATTTCATTGTTTTCTTCCACAGAACAGTCAATAACAGCTAACTTTATAATATTTCTCCAATTCATCATTTCAGATGCCATGGTTTTAAATCTGGGAGCAAATGCTCGACAGTGTCCACAGTAGCTATTGTAAAATTGAGCCACAATTGCATGATTCTGCCCATAAATTTTCCTTGCAAAATTACGATTCGTTAATATGTCAACATGATCAGACTTACTATAAAGTCCTTGTTGATCTACATCACCATCTTCCACAATAACTGCACTATTCACTAATGCAATGAATATAGCATTGAATAGAACTACTGCATAGCCCAGGTTCATTTTGAATGCTCTCAATAACGAGGAGCAAAGCACGTCACGTTACAATTATTTAGTTTGCAGGTAGTAATCGAAACACGGCTTTCGCCGGCGACTCCGGAGTTCAAACTAAAGAAAACTATTGTAACACCAACTTATCATGATAATTCAAACGCTACAACTTGAATACGTCATTTCTTCTACACGATTCCTCGCGTTGTTTCTATTCAACGAAAAGAGTTAAAAGACAAAAACTAACGACCTACGAACCGTCCGAACAAAACTCAACTGTCAGAGTTAGTGTCAGGTCAGTCAGGTGAGTGAGTGACAGTGGCAGTTAGTGTCAAAAGTCAAATGCTATAAATGTCATTGAACGAAACTGTGCAGTGTGCACATGGTGCACACTGAGTACGTTACTAAAAGTAAACTGTAATTCAAAGGGTGTAAAACAGTGTGATTTTTTGTTACACGCACATGAGAAAGCGTGTGCTCTAATGTATCTCTGTCATTTCCCAATAGGGTTGAACCGTGGTTGAACGATGAAAGCGAAAACTAGCGAAAACCAGATGGCGATGTATGCTATACATGAAATGGCAGCCATCTCCGTTTCTGCCAGTTTCTCCCATAATCTATTTTGAGTATTTAACCAATATAGATGTTACCATTACGAGTACCTACATCTATGCAAAAAAGTCAAGCGCAGGGGACGAGGGAATGCACACAAATAGGGATAATACGATAAGGCAATTTGATCCCGTTGTAGTCACAATAACAAAGACTGTTAAACAAACACAATTTGAGACCCTTTAGACACTACTACTACACTACTTAAAACGAGTGGCTGCTGTGAGAGTTGACGAAGATACCGGGGAAGTTGATATTTGTCGCGGGGTTCGGCAATGATGCATTATGTCTCCGTTGCTCTTAAATATTTATTCGGAAGTAGTTATGTCGGAAGCACTCGAAAAAATTGATGCTGGAATTAAAATTAACGGTTGGCGCATTAATAATCTGCGCTACGCAGATGACATCGTTCTTATTGCAGCTTCGGAGCGTGACTTGGAGATAATGGTAGACAGGGTCAACGAGTGCAGCCAAGAAGCAGGTCTCGCGGTAAACATAAGCAAAACGATGCTCATAGTGGTCTTCATAAATCTGGATTTGAATCCCAAAATACAGGTAGCGGGACAACAACTACAGAGAGTAAACTATTCAAGTATCTCGGTGCCTGGGTAAATGAAGTATGGGAATCAGATGAAGAAATTAAATCCCGAATAGAAATTGCCAGAGCGTCTCTCAATAAGATGAGGAAAGTTCTCTGTTGTCATTGACTTACCATAAAGCTTCGAGTTTGGATGCTTCTATGCTACATCTGGCCTGTCGTTATGTACTACGGTTGCAAAGCATGGGCCTTAAAAGATGGCACTATTAGACGCATAAAGGCGTTTGAAATATGGTGTTACCGTCGGATGTTGCGCGTATGTTGAACGCAAAAGGTCAGGAACGATACCGTGCTTCAGCGCGTCCACATACCACGCAAAATCATTCAAATCATTAAAAATACATATTGCTTCATCTTATGCTTATGGGTAAGGTGGAACGGAAGAGAAGCGCTAGGCGAAGGAAAAAGTCGTGGCAGCGCAATATTGGGGAGTGAACTGATGCTCTGTGGGACAACTTTTCCGCCTGGCCAATGGCAACGACCAATTCAAAAAGTTGACGGCCAATCTTCAGAATGAAGTGGCCTCATAAGAAGAAGACACTACTCCGAGCTTGTTTCACTTCCAACGTGATCGAGACTCCACCGCGTTAAGCCCTCTGATTGGTTGGTTCATTGGAGCAGGTTATTTAGAGCATTGAACGCAGTACTTTCCAGTATATTACTCAGAGCAGTAACATTTCGATCTAGGAAATGTAAAAAAAACTTGTACTAGGTCACTCTTGTAATTTTTTTGTTAGCAATAATAGAGGGCGAACTCTGTCGATAATTTGCTAGCGATGAATTCAGCCATGGGCATTGCCACGGTGGAACAGAATGGAGTACTTGCCCACCCTAGCTCAGACTTAAGAGTACTTAAACAAATGTATAAATCTATATCATCTATTAAGGACTAACTATAAAAAGTGCTTAGTATTCACTACGAATTTATATACTTGACAGTCGCATCGAAAAGCGGGTAAGTTGCCCCAACCATATTTTTTGGTTATTCAACATCGTATTAGTTCTTTAATTTCAATGATTCAATAATAGGCGGCCGGCATCCATTCCTGCTATGATCTTATCATTTTAGGTTGCCTAACCTGACGTTGGACATCCAGTGCTTTGCTCGGCAGTATGTGATCTTCATTATGCCCCATTACCACATTTTTTTGCACGATCATAATATATCATCCAATGTCTCTTCCTGTCTCCGACTTGGGAGAGGCGAGAAGGAGTTTTTTAGACTCACTATGAAAATAAATTAGGTATTGAATCGATTATAATGACGTTTGCTACAGCCGTAGAATATAAACTGGATAAGACTTATAAAAAAACCAAATTCTGCCAGAACTCATTAATCCACGGGGACGAAGTCGCGGGCAAAAGCTCGTAAGTAGTTATGATAATAGCAAAGTGAGAGTTTTTAAATCCATACCTTTTTTATTTAGTTTTTATCACATTTAAGCATCAATTATTGTTATTGAGAAGATTTTACAAGATTTATTGCCACGATACAAAAACTATTTTGATGGTCTTTGTTCTACCTTTGATCGGTGCGGGAGGTCGTATCAGACTTAACAGACTAAAATTTTTGAGTCGACCGCACACCGGAGTCGTGAAGTTTTGTGCGAGCAGACGTGAATCCATTTTACTGGTCGAAATCAAGATAAATAAAAATTTATATTGTACACCATTTTATATTGTAGACCAAAAAAGTAACAAAACTTATACTTAGATCTACGGATACAATGGATAACCATTGTATCCATAGATCTAAGTATAAGTTTATTTATAATTATGCATGTAGTAATAATACTACTACATGCATAATTATAAATATGTACAAAATAGAGAAATTATATCTAATCTTTGTTTGTGTGCCATTTGCCAAATAATTGCTTTTTCTTTCTTTCTTTCTATCTTTCATATTATGCTTAGACAAATCTATACATATAATAAAATTGTAGAAAAGTGCTGTCTGTACATTGAAAATAAAAATAAAAAAAATAGCAGGGGCTATTGTTATGTCGATTTCGAACCCAAAAATGTAACTAACTTTTTTTT